AATTCAAATTGGAAGTATTATTTTTTTCCCCTTCGTTTTTAGTTCTCTTTTTATGTCGGTAATCAGACACGTCATCCATCAATCCTCCCATCGACTAACAAACCTCCCATCTTTATCGCAGCACTTCCAAAATCATTTCCAAAATCCAAAAAACAAATTAAAATTGGAATTATTATTTTTTCCTTTGTTTTTCGTTGTTTTTTATGTCAGTAATCACACACATCATCCATCAATCCTCCCATCGACTCACCAACCTCCCATCTTTATCGCCGCGCTTCCAAAATCATTTCCAAATCCCAAAAAACTAAATTAAAATTGGAATTATTATTTTTTCCTTTGTTTTTCGTTGTTTTTTATGTCAGTAATCACACACATCATCCATCAATCCTCCCATCGACTCACCAACCTCCCATCTTTATCGCCGCGCGTCCAAAATCATTTCCAAAATCCAAAAAAACAAATTAAAATTGGAATTATTATTTTTTCCTTTGTTTTTCGTTGTTTTTTATGTCAGTAATCACACACATCATCCATCAATCCTCCCATCGACTTAAAAACCTCCCATCTTTATCGCCGGACTTCCAAAATCATTTCCAAAATCCAAAAAAACAAATAAAAATTGAAATTATTATTTTTTTCCCTTTGTTTTTGGTTTTTTTCATGTCGGTAATCAGACACATCATCCATCAATCCTCCCATCGACTCACCAACCTCCCATCTTTATCGCCGCGCGTCCAAAATCATTTCCAAAACCCAAAAAAGAAATTAAAATTGGAAGTATTATTTTTTTTCATTCGTTTTTGGTTTTTTTCATGTCGGTAATCAGACACGTCATCCATCAATCCTCCCATCGACTCACAAACCTCCCATCTTTATCGCCGCGCTTCCAAAATCATTTCCAAAACCCAAAAAAACAAATTAAAATTGGAATTATTGTTTTTTTTTCTTTGTTTTTCGTTTTTCTTATGTCAGTAATCACACACGTCATTCATCTATCCTCCCATCAACTCACAAACCTCCCATCTTTATCGCCGCGCGTCCAAAATCATTTCTAAAACCCAAAAAAACAAATTAAAATTGGAATTATTATTTTTTTCCTTTTGTTTTTTATTTTTTTCCTCCGTTTTTGATTTTCTTTTCATGTCGGTAATCAGACACGTCATCCATCAACCCTCCCACCGACTCATAAACCTCCTATCTCCATCGCCGCGCGTCCAAAATCATTTCCAAAATCAAAAAAGGATATTAACATTGGAGTTATAATTTTTTATTTTGTTTTTCGTTTTTTCCTTATCTCAGTAATCTGACACATCATCCATTTATCCTCTCATCAACTCACAACCATTTTTTTTCCATTGCTGCGCGTCCAAAATCATTTTCAAAAACCAGAAAACAAATAAAATTCGAATTATAATTTTTTATAAAAAAAAACTCAAAAAACTCCTTTGTTTTTGGTTTTTTTCATGTCAGTAATCTGACAAGTCATTCATTAATCTTCCCATCGACTCACAACCTCTCCATCTTTATCGTCACGCGTCCAAAATATTTTCCAAAACTCAAAAAAGAAATTAAAATAGCAATCTTTTTCTTATTTGTTTTTCTTATTTTTCGATGTCGGCAATGAGACACGTCATCGAGACCTACTGGAAATAAAAGAAAAAAAAAATTCTTCGGTTTCTTAATTTAATTTTTTTTGAAATTAATTCTCCGCGATAATGGGCCGGAAGGGGTGGAGTGGGTAGGTGACGATGTACTACATAAAAAACCAATTTTTTTTAAATATGAACATTTTGAAAAAATCTTTTTCGGCCCTGGAATAAGTAGTAACAGAATTAAAAAAATAAAAAGTCCGACAACATTAAAAAATCAAAATCCAAAAAAAAAATGGCCTGATCCAAAAACCGAAGGGGAACTTTCGATTCCAAAAATCATCCTCTACAATACCCTCCGAGGAAAGTGATCGGTTACGGGACACCCTGTATATATATATATGTTATACCACACCGAAGGTTACGGCGCGCGGAGCGCGCCTCATACGCTAGTTAGAAAAAAATACAAATGGGACAAAATGGGTCTGTGAGCCAGTTCATTAGGAAAACAGTGGGGCAAAATGGGTTTGTTTATCATTTTCCGAGTTGACACCCCCCCATGAAACCAAAAATAATCGATTTCAAAATCCAACAGAAGGAGCAGAATGGGTTCGTGAGCAATTTCCCGCATTGACACTCCCCCCCCTGCAACCTCTCTCGATCATTAAGAAAATAATTGGGTAAAATGGGTTTGTTTGTCATCTCCCGAGTTGCCTCCCCCCCCGCTCGCACTCATTAGGAAAAAATGGGGCAAAATGGGTTTGTTTGTCGTTTCCCGACTTGACATCCGTCCCCTCGCTCATAACAAAAAAAATGCAAATGGGGCAAAATGGGTTTGTTTGTCGTTTCTCGAGTTGACATCCGTCCCCTCGCCCATAAGAAAAAAACCTACGAATGGGGCAAAATGGGTTTGTTTGTCATCCCTCGAGCTGACACTCCCCCTCGCTCGCACTCATTAAGAAAATAATGGGGCAAAATGGGTTTGTTTGTCATCTCCCAAATTGACTCAAACTTGACCCCTCTCCCTCATTAAGAAAATAATGGGGCAGAATGGGTTTGTTTGTCATCTCCCGAGTTGACACCCCGCCCCCTTCCCGAATAAAGCCCACAATAATGGATTTCAAAATTCCACAGAAGGAGCAGAATGGGTTTATAAGCCGTTTCTCAAATTAACCCCCCCCCCCAACCCCTCTCGCCAATTACGGAAAATACCAAAAATGGGGCAAAATGGGCCTGTTAGCTATTTTCCAAATTGACCCCCCCCCCCCGGCCGCTGATTATGAAAACCGCGGGGCAAAATGGGTTTGTTTGTAATTTTCCGAGTTGACCCCCCCCCCCCTACAATAAAACCCATAATAATGGATGTCAAAATTCAACAGAAGGGGCAGAATCGGTTCGTAAGCAATTTCCCGAATCCACCTCCCCCCTCTGCCAGGCCTGCCCCTCCCCCTCATTAGGCAAACAGTGGGGCAAAATGGGTTTATTTGTTATTCCCCGCATTGACGACACCCCCCCCCCCCTCGCTCATTAAGAAAAAAACAACAAATCGGGCGAAATGGGTCTGTGAGCCATTCCACAGATTGACTTCCCCCTCTCCCCCTCACACTCATTAGGAAAACAGTGGGGCAAAATAGGTTTGTTTATCATTTCCCAAGTTCACACCACCCTCCTCCCCGCCATGAAACCCACAATAATGGATTTCAAAATTAAACAGAAGGGGCAGAATGGGTTCGCGAGCAATTTTGCGAGTTGACACCCCCTCCCCCCCTCTCGCTCATAAAAAAAAACAACAAATGGGGCAAATTGGGCCTGTTAGCTATTTCCCAAATTGACCCCTGATTATGGAAACCGTGGGGCGGAATAGGTTTGTTTATCATTTCCCGAGTTCACCCCCCTTCCTCGCCAGAATAAAACCAAAAATAATCGATTTCAAAATTCAACAGAAGGGGCAGAATGGGTTCCGAGCAATTTCCCGAATTGACTCCCCCCCTGCCGCTCCCTCTCGCTCAATGAGAAAATGATGGGGCAAAACGGGTTTGTTTATCGTTTTCCGACTTGACATCCCTCCTCTCGCTCATTCAGAAAATAAATAACAAATGGGGCGAAATGGGTCTGTGAGCTATTTCCCGCTTGACTCCCCCCCCCCCCCCCCCGCCACCCACAATAATGTATTGCGAAATTCGCCAAATGGGGCAAAATGGGTTGGTGCTAATATTCCAAATCAACCCCCCTGCCCCCCCAAACCTATCTAATATTCATAAGTGAAATAGAATAAAAAATATGCCTGCGACTGCTGACAGTTTACCGCCGACTCGATAATTTAACACTGGCGCCATCTCGCGGCATTCTCCCATCTGAACTTCTTTACCACACAGCACACCATCAATAATTTCTCCTAATTATACAAAATAACCTATTAATGGGTATTAATTGGGACCAATTGTTTGTCTATCAGCATTTAAATAATTTTTTGATTATATTCCAATCATTTTTGGCCCATTTTTCGCCTTAAAATGACATCCATGCATATCCATGCTACAACATGGATCCTTATTCGCCAGGGTAGGAAATGACTGGACCACTCGATTGGAAATCAAGAACGAAATCACTGGAAATCAAGTGATTTCCATTTCCGATAGTGATTTCTAATGACTTGTGGAAATCATCGGAAATCTGTAGAAATAATAAAGAAATCAGGTGATTTGAGAAATAATTAGAAATCATCGATGAAATTGAAACCGAAATTTTTTATTCGAGCTCACTCATACGATCCCGTCTGACCCTCATGACCTTTTTATGCATATGTCATTTAATTCTTACTATCACATCCACAAGGTCCTTCTAAACTCTTTGGTTCCCAGAATCTTACCCATATGCGATTGTCGACAGACGCCCCACTTTCGCTCGCCGGAATCATGATTTTTCGATTGATTTCTTGAAATAAAAAAATCCCCAGAATCAACTAGAAAAAATCAAAAGAAATCATGATTTCCAATTTTCATTGAGAAATCACAGGAATCGTTAAGGAAATCACAGGAAATCATCCCATTTTGGAAATCACTGAGCCACCCGATTGAGGAGGGACCAACCCCCCGATTAATTCCTTGTTTTCTGTCCTTGAGAATGCCCACGCGTTATTGAACTAAATGAATCGGAAGGTGTTTGCTACGTTATCGTGGATTTATGAGTGAACAATGTGACCCTTATTTATAGCTCAGATAAGAAAACTAGTGAGAAAATTAATGAACTAGTGTTGTTGACTAGGATCGATTTTTAACATATCAACATGTCAGAAATTTGGGTTGATGATAATTGGACGATTAGTTTGACCATCATTAGTGAAGACATGCCTTCCTTAAACATGACTTCGTTCTCCTGCTTCCGAAGGTTCATTAACACTCTATGGTTTTCTAAACATATATGAAACAAGCAGAAATTTAAGATATGAATCAAGTGATTCCACCAGCAAAAAAAATTGTAGATAAGGTAAGAATCTATCAAACAATTTCATGAGATGTTGATTCATGTTTGTGTATTTAGCGCTCTCAAATAACAGCGTGTTAACTCAGAATAAGCTAGAATCACATTAATTTCCATTGCCATTGAAGAGCTTTCACGGAAAGTCCGGTAAAAATAAGGGAATCGTGATTGCATGAGTAATGTTGTATTTGTTTTTTTTGGAACAGGTGGATTCTACGTGGTACGAACGCAATGAGCGTCGGGGAGTGGTTACAGGACAAGCTTACTCATATGGGATAAGGTATCTTATCACTGATAATGATACAGTAGAATTTGGTACGGCGTTGGAAAGGTGTGGTTGAAGTTACTTTTAGTCGATGTATTTTCTTCGCTAATTTCAATTGATTAATCTTTACGGTTCTAAAATCTATTTTACTTCATTGTCTCTCATGATGAGAGATTAATGATCTTAGAAGGATTACAAAAATAGATTGCGCCAAGTTTTCGGAGATATCGTCAACATTAATTGACCAGTGATTGAGACTGTTACAAATTGAGATGAATTTTATGATACTCGTCGCGCTCTTAGGCGTACTTCTCGGTAAGTTCAGTGAATTTTTAGTAATGAGGATACAATCAAATGAATGTTGTTCTGATTATTTAATGAGTTTCCTGATTATTGGTAGTGAAAGCCCAGGAGAATGCACAGAGCAAAGTTTCTGATGGACTTTTGGAGTGTTACAACAATACTTCTGCGTTGTTGAAGCAGAATAGACTACCTCATAATTTGCATGCCTTCATCGCGATAATTAGAAAGATCGAGGAAAATCCACAAGTTCATATGAACCGTCGTCAACTGTCAGTGGCACTGCTGCATAGGTAATTTTCCAATCAAGTTGATTACATTATGATATTAAATCGTTGAGAAGCTGTTGGATTTTGTCCGAAAATGACTCTTCAATAAGGATTGATTGTTCATAATGATTACAATCCCTTTGCGGCCGTCACTTGATTAATTTATACTATTTGTTTTATTTTCTTTCCGTTTACGCCTTCACAATTGGATTAATTTAATTTTATCCATTCTTATTCTTATTCTATACATATTTTTTCCTTAATTTACAAGTTACAACATTGAATGAAAAGGAATTATGTTGAAGATTGATCAAAAGTGTTTTTTTTGTGATGACAACAAACACACTAAACAAAAGTCATTCTAAATCTCGCTCGAGTAATTGAAAAATCTCTCTATGTATTCCTGAAAAATTTTTAAATCTATTTTTCCCTTCATATGGTAAAAGGATATCAGTACTCCTCATTCTTATGATCGGATTCCAATTATTATTATGAAAAGGAAATAAAAAGATCAGAAAGGGGTAATCGGCTAGAAAATGTTTTGTTTTTTTCTTTTATTTCAGTGGAAACTTCGAAGCACTTTTTGTCTTCCAGTATTAGAAGAATATTAATATTTTGGCGAGAAGAAATCCAAAAAATGTAAAAGAAAGTGGACGAAGAGAACTAAAAAAATTAATTTTTCAATGTCTCTGGAAAGTTTTAAAATCCATTTTTTTCGAATAAAGAAATATCGTTGTCTTTTGAGAATTACCTAAATGGCAATGAATTGCAAAAATCACGAATTGGAGACTGAAAATTATGAATAGGGGCTGATCGACTAGAAAGTGGAGAAAAATTATTTTTCTTCATTTGTCAACATCTAATTTTCACGAGAAGAAATGAAAGAAATGTAAAAAAAAACGTAGGCGGGAGAAATAAAAAAATTAATTTTTCAATGTCTCCGGAAAGGATCAAAATCGATATATTTCTTCGAATAATGGAAGAATACCCGTAAATTCGATTTCTATCTTCATCTTTTGATAGAATGGATCGAATAAATAACATAAATTAAGAATTGGAGACTAAAAATTTTATCGGATTATATATAATGTTTTTTACCTATCTAAGGTTTCGTCAGGATGGAATTGTAATAGATCCAAAAGCTGTTCCCCAGGAAGGAGTGACCCCCTATGGAACAGAAGGATTACAATCTTTCAGATACGCGGAACTATTGAAGATGATCCCAGGAAATGCTGTGACATTCAATAACAACAGTATAACTTTGATAGAAAGGGTAAGAAAAGTGCTCTTAAACACGGCCACGTGAAATATTCTGTTAACGCCGACTCACTTCTTCTCTCCTCGCTCTAAATCCAATGAACTCAATGATAATACGTTCAGTTATAACTTCATGATTTTATCGGCCATGGTATATATAAATTTGATGAATTTATTTTGGCTTTGCGGTCTTGATTCCTCACATGTTCTTTCGTGCTACTATTTGGAACCCATCAAATGCCAACTTTAAATTGAGAGAAGGACGCAATGCGTTATCCATTGAGCCCTCACGGTTGAAAAAATTTAATAGAAAAACCTAGTGAATTCGTTAGAAAATTCTATTGGATTTCTATTAAACTTTCTATTAATTTTTGGCCAATTCTATTGAAATGTTCAAAAAAAATATTCAATAGAAAAAGTCAATAGAATTCGTTTTTTCTATATAACTTATTCTCTTCAGATATTTTTTATAGAATTTCTTTGGCTCAAATTTTCGAAGTTTTTTTCATTCTGTTTTTCTTTTCTTCTTATCTTATTATATAGAAAAATGTAGTTCTTTTGACTTTTCTATTGAACATTTAAATAGAATCGACCAAAAACTAATAGAAAGTTTAATAGAAATCCAATAGAATTTTCTAGCGAATTCGTTAGGTTTTTCTATTAAATTTTTTCAGCCCTGAGGGCTCATCGGATCGATCCAGTGGGATTCGAACCCACGATCTTCTGTAGTCTGAGCGGTTGCTCTTGATCACCGAGCTATGGAGACATCTTCGCCTCCAATAAGCCCTCAATTTTTTAAGTTTGGACATTGACTACTCAAGACTTCGAACTGTGAATCGTCGACGAGGGGCTGGTCACTCCTCAATCGAGTGACTCAGTGATTTCCAGAATCAGATGATTTCCTGTGGATTTCTGTGATTTCTCGAATGATTTTTGTGATTTTTCAATCAACATTAGAAAGCATGATTTCTTTTGATTTCTTGTGATTTCCATTATTTCTAGTAGATTCCAATGATTTCTTGATTTCCAGAAATCACTGGAGAAATCATGATTTCGGGACCAGAATGGGACATCTGTTGATAATGGCAGTTTTCTACATGACGTTACAATACGTGCACAGAGAGAAATGTTCAGTAAAAATTACGGAACTCACAATTCGCTCACCGATTACGGAATCGATTCAGAAAATTTAAGTGACGGTATCGTAATTTTTCACAGGAGATTCAGATAAAAATTACGGAACGCTCTGGAAAAATTGCGTGACAGTTCCGTAAAATTTCCTCCAACCACATTTCACTTCGGAATTACAGAAAACATATGTAATTTTTATTGAATATTTCTCTCCGTGTAATTAAAAATTAAATAAATTAAAAATTACACGGTGACTGGCCCCTCGATTATCGAGCTGTGAATCGTCGAGCTGTGAATCTCATCTCCTGAACCACTGAGAGTGAATGGATAGCGAATTGCGTCCCTCTGTCAGTTTAAAGTTCGCGTTTGATGGGTTTCAAATAGCAGCACGAAAGAACAATATACCTCGAACATCTGAGGAATCACAATCGCAAAGCCGACCAAATTCATCAAATTTAATACGTTCAATCTGTTATATTCGGAGAATATTGTCAGCGTTAGGACTATTCTTTCAACCGTTAAATTACAAAGAGAAGCTAAAATTATTAACATTCCAATTTACTGGACGACGCTAAGTGCATACCCTTACCTTATTAAAAATGAATCCACAATTTCCTCACCAGCAGTTAGATTTTGCTAAACGCTATTATGTACACTTTCACGGAAACACTTTCTTCTACTCGTTGGAGTTTATTAATATTTTGACAAATTTAAAAAAAAATGAAGTTTAAAGTTTGTTTGAGACTTTGCACAACACTTCACAATAATCGAATCCCTTACTTGTAAGAAAAGGCACCACTCTCGGTTAAAGAAATTTGATTCCCGGATAATTTCAATTATTCGTAGCCTACTATTAATTCGGCAACTATCCAGCGTAATTTCGACTCTGCGAATTATTATCGGAGGAATAGTTGAAAAACCGGACCGATTAAGTGAACTATTTCCACTAGAATTGTTACTGCTCCGTCGTTGCTTCAAGACTGATTAAATTTAATTTTTCTGGAGATTTTATCGGGTTTTGGGAACCACTTGTCTCTTGGGGGCTCCAACGAGTCGATTTTTAATTGGTGGAAAATGTATGATTTTGCCCACTTTTTAATCGTCATTGGGAAAGTAGTTCATTCGCTTATTGGGGTTTTCGATTCTCGTTTCTCAACCATTCCTCCATGTGTGAATTGTGATATTGAGAAATGGGGGCATGCTGGGTGAAAAATTTCATCACTGATGTTCTCAATTAAATTGTTTTTGGAATTTTTATTGAGTTCAAATGATGAAATGTTCTTTCTATTATTTGGTTTGATAATTTACATTTTATGTACATATTTTATGAGGTATTCCATGCCAAATGAGTCAACGGCTGACCCTCACCCTCTTGAAAATTGATGGCGATTTTTTCAACGATTGGGGGGCTTGAAAAACTATCTCTCAAATTTTTTAAGATTTTTTTGACAGCCCAGTTCGGAGATATTTTTTTTCAAATTGTTCGTTTTTTTACAATAACTCGAGTTCTACTCATCCGATTTCGATTTATTAGGGATCAAAATTTTTCATTTTTCACCACCTATAAGAATGTTTTTTGTCCAAATTTTTTCCAACCTCTAGATGCTTGAAATAACGAATTTTTTTTAACGATTTTTTTTTCGAAAAAAAAAAGTTGAAAAACTTGAATTTTGCTAGTTGCGTCACGGTTGATTATTTTAATTTTTTTTCAGTAATTCCTATATTCAAAACAAAAATTTTGAGCCGTCATACATGTTGGGTTTCGTCTTAGATCTATTTCATTTTTAATTTTTTATTCTCAAAATTCCGCGAATTCGGTCAAAATACCCCAAAATGTCATTGGTTGACTTTGATTATAAACAGTATGAAGTAAATTTAAATATATACCTATATATTACAAATTTTTTCGATACATAATAGTCGTTTTAAGGTGCTTTCACCAAATTTTCGTAATTTTAAAAAGAACAAATTAGAAAAAAATATAGATCCTGGATGGAACCCAACATGTATGACGGCTCCAAATTTTCGTTTTTATTATAAGAATTACTGAAAAAAAAGTTAAAATAATCAGCCGTGACGTAATTGGCAAAATTCAAGTTTTTCAGCTTTTTTTTCGAAAATTCGTTATTTCGAGCATCTAAAGATTGGAAATTAAAAAAAAAACATTCTTATAGGTGGTGAAAAATGGAAAATTTTGCCCTCTAATAAATCGAAATCGGATGAGTAGAACTCGAGTTATTGTAAAAAAACGGAACAATTTGAAAAAAATCATATTTTCGAACTGGGCTATCAAAAAAATCTGAAAAAATTTGAGAGATAGTTTTTCAAGCCCCCTAATCATAGAAAAAATCGCCATCAATTTTCAAGAGGGTGAGGGTTAGCCGTTGACTCATTTGGCATGTAATACCTCATATATATTTTAATTTTTACCATCATAAAAATTTTGGACATTACAAATCTTTTTCAGTGCACCCTCCACTCAATGGTCTCCAGCTCCATTGACACATTCCGCCGTGAGGATGAGTCCTCTACCTGCCGCTTGGAAAATCTCGACTACCGGCAGTCGCGCTTTAAAAAACGAAGCATCCGTCCTCGTCGCCAGGTTCCAAAACTACACAACGATGTAGAAACCTTCAACCCGGAGCAAATTGAAACCAAGAAGAAGATCAACAGTGATGCCGACATCTTCGCCCCAAACTCCTGGTATCCCCCACTTCCCTCGAACCACCCGGACAGCGCTCGTCTCCAGATAGAGACTAGCAAATGTCCTTCAGAATCGGGCGTTCTTCAAACCGATTGGGGAGTGGTTTCTGGAGGGCCTCTCCTCGCAGGAATAGCAGCGGCTCTGCAGCCTCAGAACGTGAGGATTAGTGACTTGATGAAACGAGACTGGGAGAACAAAGGCTCGCTCTCCTCTAGTGTTACCCTTGACAACAAATGGCTAGCGACATTAGCAGGTGACTTGGTAGAAATTGCTCTACGTCAAGGGCCTAGCAAGGATCCCTACAAAATTGGAACCCCAGGACACTGGAACTCATCCCACACTCCCAAATACTACTTCCTCAATACTGATGAAGGTTTAGAGTTTACTGAAGCTGAAGTCCGAGGAGATCTTGATGGTCTTGTCTTGGCCTCAAACGTCGCCTCCTGGTACACAAAATTTCCCAGTTTGAGACTGTCCCAGATCTTTGACATGTATTATAGTGATCGAGGAGTCTTCAATGACACGATCAGGGCGTGCAATCGCAGAAATCTGCTCACCATCGTTGCACCTAACGACACCACGAGTGCCCAAACTTACAGAGCGGCAATGGTCCTCAATTCGAATACTAAATTACCCAGAGGGACAGTCTCAGATGAGAAAGTCGAAACATTTTCAGTCCAAGCTGTCAATGAACTGTTCAAGTTTATTCCTTCGTCGATGAATAATGACAAAACTTGCAGCCAGACGAATCCAACTAAGAACTTATTCCATCGAATTGCTGTGGACCTGACGATCATTTTAGACACCACTTGGCCATTCAAAGATATCAAACCAATTTTAGATTCTCTCCTCGAGAAATCTGAGATAAACAGATTTGCGAGTAATTTCTCATTGATTAATGCGGCTAATGGATCCTTAATTTTCGATAGTTCTCACAGTATTCTGGACTTTTACGCATTCAATGAAAGTGATTATAATGCGTTGACCCGGGGGTTCAATCTACCGATATCGTTAGACGTAATAAAAAGTTTAGAGACAAGAAAATTGAATGCTGAAAGAGAGAAAAATGTGGGAGGTGGACGGGCTGAAGTAGTGCTAGTTGTTCCTTGGAGTCGCTCCTCGCTTTCCGACGTAAATAAGGAGTATTCGTTGAACAAAATTTGGGAGATGAGAGAGGAAACTCCAGATGTTAATATTTTATTTATGACTGCTGGATCTAAGGAAAGATGGACGGATCTGGTGAGGGAGGGCCAGGATATCGTCTCCGTGGGAACTGGAAGTTGGAAAGAGTCTGTTGGACCGGTTGAGGAACTTGTAAGTCGGATGAAGAGAATCCCGAAACGTTTGATCAACTCGCAATGTGGATGGGATTACTCTTCTGGCGGGGGATCAGCCTCGTTTGAAGATTATTTGGAACCGTCTGGGGTGCAGTTTTATAGACTACATCCTAATTATTTCTACAAAACTGATGAGGACGATACACCGACTGTGAAGGTCCATGGGGTGAGTGGCATGAGCCTGACCATCTGCTCCTCGAGGAATCCTTTGAATATCAATGCCAGTGAATCTACAGACTGTAGTACTATCAATGGAGGTAGTCGAAGTATTTCTGTCAATTGCGTGGGGACAGAATACATTCATAAATGCAAACCACTTTATCTGTCGATTACCATTGAGAATAAAACGCATGAAGAATCTTATCAGTGCACAGGTGAGTTTAAACATTACCACTTCTAAGTCTTATGTACATGTCATTCTGGGATATTTTCTGAAAACTGGTTTGTGAACAGGTTATTTAGTAGTATGAATCGTTTTCAAGTACCTTTTTGGGGCAAGGGGCTTTTTGGGGCGTTGGACTCTCAAGGAAGAAATCACCAGAAATCACTGGAAATTAAGTGATTTCCATTTCCGGTAGTGATTTCGAATTACTTCGGGAAATCATCGGAAATTAGTAGAAATCAGGCGATTTTAAAAATAATTAGAAATCATCGATGAAAGTGAAACCCAAATTTTTTATTCGAGCTCACTCATACGATCCCGTCTGACCTTCATGACCTTCTTATGCACATGTCATATGACTATTATTATCACATCCACAAGGCCCTTCTAAACTTTTTGGTTCTCAGAATCTTACCCATATGCGATTATCGACAGATGCCCCATTTTTGCTCCGAAATCATGATTTTTCGAGTGATTTCTTGAATAACTTTGATTTCAACTCAGTTTATATAATTCACAAAGATGTTACGATCGCGTTTTAACATCAAGAAATCATCATAATCTACTTCAAATCATGGAAATCACGAAAAATCAGAAGAAATCATAATTTCCAATTCTTATTGAGAAATCACAGGAAATCATCCCATTCTGGAAATCACTGAGTCATCCGATCGAGAAGTGATCAGCTCCTCGTTTTGGGGCTTTGAAATGATATAAAATTTGGGGAATTATTTTGTTTGAACGACTTGACGTAATCTTTGGAGATTAAATAAAAGTTTTGAGACTCTCAATTGAATTTGTTTCTGTCAATAATCCATTTTTCTCCCCTTTCTATTTGTTCAATTGGACTAATTACTTTCATTCTCTGTTCCAGATGCCGAAAACTGCCGATTTCCTGACATGATAAAATTTTCTTTTTCCTACGAAAAACTGGTCTGTACCAGTGGTACTTCCGCGATAATATTTTCTCCTATTTTGATTTTATTATTAACAGTTTCATTTCTTCGGATTGCTTAAATTTTCTTATTCAATAGTAACGTACTCCAATATTTATGCCTCCAATCAAATGTTTGACCCATCGATTTCATATATTTTCTTTTTTGTAACGATTTGTAAACCTAAGTCATTTACCATTATCATACCTGCTGATTCATTTACATCTATTTGTACTGAAATGATAAGAATCATTTGTCATCCATCACAATGAATAAATGATTGTTTACCAATGGAATTATTTCTCTATTTAATAATTATCAATTAATGTTACATAATTTATAAAAATTAATAACCATCCTCCTAGTTTCTTCCCTGGGACTGAGGTTCAGTGTCGGGCTCAGGATCGTCAATCAAACCCGCAGATTCGCTCAGCATCTTTCCTAGCACTTGAAGAAGTTGCCCTTTGAAGTCGTGAATTTGATTGTAGGAATCCAGATCCTGTACCGGCAGTCCTTGATTAGCAACCATGTAGCGTATAACTCCCCACATAATGTCTCGGAATTTCAATAACGTAGTTGCAGTCCTATAAATTCAAATGAGAATGTATAGTTCAAAAATAATCATGGAGTCATCAACTATCAGCTGAAAATCGTTGTAGAATTAGACTTTTTCCCTTCCACATGGAAGCATTGTAATTTTTCAAATTTAAATTTGGATGTTTTGGGTTATATCGACCCATTATAATCCAAAAAGTCGAAAAATGTAATTTTTAGACCGTGTCCGTACGTATGTGCGTGGTAAAGTTTTCCTTCAATTCTTTGCTAATGAATCCATGGAATTAAATCATTCCTTTTTCTCAAATGTAGGTATTGCTGAGTCCTATCCATCGACATTAATTAAAATTTAATTAATCGATTTGTTTTTTCAATTTTTGAATTATTTCGAAAGTCGGTTGTCCCACGATAACTAGAACAAAATGTTCTGAATCGATTGAATGATGGCTTAAAAAATTTATTTTAATACCCTTTTGACTGAGTTCGAAGATGAAGGCGATAGCAATAATCGTTATTTTGATTTATTTGAAAATTTGCCAAAATTTTGTATTTTTTGAAAATCAAAATTCCGGAGATATCTTTGAATATCATGGTTCAAATGTATTCAATCATAGCTTAAAATGTTTGCTTTAATACCATTGATTCGAAGTTAAAAGATGATTACAATAACTATATTAGGTGATTTGATTTTTATGCTGATTATTGAAAATTTTGAATTTGTCATGAATTTCCCCGAAAGTGAGCTTCCTCATGCTTTCATCAAATGTGATGTTTCAAATTTATTCCAGTATGTGTAAATAAAATTTTTCTATTTTCCATTTTATCGAAGGGCTGAGGGGGAGCGATAAATCCGTGAAAAAGACAATCGATTGTATAGATAAAAGAAATAATAAGAATAATGATGATGATAAAATTCAGCTAAGTTGAGAATCTAACAAAAGTAGTTGAAAATAAATCTTACCCAATTTAATAAAATGAAATAAACAGTGAATTATACATGATAGAAGGAAATGATGTGCAAAATAACCATTCGGAAGCATATTGCTAATTTATTAGCAAAAATAACTATACTATATGCAATACCAGAGCAATTTTCCACTTATTTTAAATGAACTTCATTGACTCTGAAACTTTTCTCCTGATATTTAGTCGTCAAATCACTCATAGATTAGTTGATCTGTCAATCAATAATGATTATGAATTGTTAATTGAAGAACCGTGGAAATTTTGGATTTCTCGTCCTTGAAAGCTATCATGAATTGATTCAATATGCATGTAATTTTCTTGCCTCAGGTATCGGGTAATTTTTTTCTCCTCGGGAACCATCAGAGCAATTTGGACAATCATTCAATCGAGTATTTTTAAATTAATAGCAAAATTACTTACTCTTTATTACACAGCAGTCTGATATTGTTTCGACCTTTCATCGTAAAGACAATGTGACTGTTTTCATCTTCAGAATCATTAACACGAGAAGTTTTATGCTGTCAAATAAGATGAAATTCGTTAAAATTCATCAAAGATAGGGGAGAATGGGGCAACATGAAATAGTTGAAAAACGACTGTTTGACGCAATTCAAGCAAAAAAAAATTGCTTATTAAAATTTTTTTTGTCAACTTTTTTTTATTCTTGGGAGTACTGATGAGAATAATAATTTGCCATTGAGTAGAATGGAAAATTATTGAGAAGGTTTGATGGGCGAAGATTTTGTCAATGGATTATTCGATTGAAATTCAGCATCACATTTTCCTTTTTCCCCCCTGGATCTCCCCCTGGACCTTCCTCTGAACTTTGGATTTTTCTGTTTCATTTTTTGTCAATTCATCCATTGACAAAATCTTCGCCGGTCAAAACATCTTAACAATTTTCCATTCTACTGAATGGAAAATTATTATACTTATTAATACTCCTAAGAATAAAAAAATTTGATAAAAAAAATATTGAATAAAAAATTTTTTTTTGCTTGAATTGCGTTAATCATTTTTGGCTGTTTCATTTTGCCCACTCTCCCTTAATAGCGTTTCGTCATTAAGCTGAAAAAAAATTTTCTGGCGAATATGAGTTTGCAGTCCGAGACCAAGGCGAGGGTTGCAATCATATGAGCTAGAAAAGTTTTTTTAGGCCGTATGTCGAATGATATTTTTTGTCCTAACGGGTGTAGGCAGCAATTTACGAAGGACTAGCCTTTGTAAAGCGCTGCCTTACGGCCGGAATGACGAAAAAAACATTGAATCATTTGAGAGAATCAAACTCACTAAAAATCCTAGCACTTGTCCCTGACTGAACATAAAAACAGTCAAGGGTGATATAATGCTGCTCTCTCTAACCAGGCTCGTCCTTCTCTCCTCACTATGAGTACTTCTCACATACGTCAAGAAAGGGCTGGGCCACTTTTTCCTCTTAAAATTGACACTATCCGGCGTGATAGTGACCCTCGTTCCATTTTCCGTAACAAAAGTCGAGCTTCCCTTCTTCAGCTGCCCATTTCTGATTTCAAAATCTCTCTGATAAATGACCTGATCCACCCCGGACAACAACACCCCCTTCACCATCTCATCCACCTCGGCATACTCATTTGTCTTAGCACCAAGATCTTGGAAATATTTGGGTGCATCTATTAGCTTTGCATGTACCAAATGCTCTCCATACAAATCCCTGACTTTGTTCAACGTATACATCCTTTCAGGATAGAGTCTCGATTTGAAACAGAAATCACGAACCTCGTACCTGCCAGCATTGGCATAAGACAGCCACTGTTGATAGAGCCAAACGAGACTAACATGGTCGCTGCTTGGATGGTATTTTTTCTTGATCAACCTAATAGCTTCCTTATTTTGCAAAACTCCAGAGAAGATGTCACTCTCTGCGGCCATTGCAGCTGATATCGTGAGCATGGGAGATATACAATTAAAGATCGAAGAGTACAGTAAAGCCTTGCTCAATTTGGGATGAACCGTGAAGAAGGCAATGCGTTTTCCCAAGGGCGTCAAGTTCTCATCTTCATCCAAAGCCCCAAGGTGAATGAGATCTCTCACAGCTTGTTTAATTATAGTAGGCGCTGGAGGTTCTGGAACGCTTCCAAAGAAGTCCAATGCTTTCTCATTACTGCTATAAGTCTTGCCATCCAGAACAGTCTTCTCCAAAGAAGAACGCTTGATCTCTGGTACTGGGTATGAGAGCAACTTCTGGTACATGTCCCTCGTGATAAAATGATAACTTACTCCAGGTTTGACTCTTCCAGCTCGCCCCTTTCGTTGGTTGATGTTTGCTTGTGAAGCCCACTGATTACTGATGAATGACACTCCTTGTTTCTCGTGCCACTGGAGTTGTCTGTGGGTGCAGGAGTCAACGACGTAAACGACATCAGTAACTGTGATTCCGGTCTCAGCAATGTCAGTAGCGAGTACGATTTTTCGGACGTTTGGGGGAGGTTTTTCGAAAATTTTCCTCTGATCGTAGTGAGCCATCTTTGAGTGAAGAGGGATGATTATTACGTCACTTTTCCTGCGTGCTAAAACACTGAATTCTTCCAGGTACTTTCGCATTTGCGTTATCTCTGCCCAACCAGGAAGGAAGCACAGAATAGCACCTGGGGGCTTGTTTTTCGTTATCCAGACGATTAATTCCCCCATTTTGACTAAATCAATGACTGGAGCATCGTTCAGTATATCAGAGGTCATTGGTCTCTTATCGTCAAACAGCATTCCGCTGTAAGAATTTTGAGTTCGTAATCCTAGGCTGTCGATGTCTTCTAGGTAGTGAGACTCCACTGGATACGTTCTTCCGGGGATCTCTATCACTTTGCAGTTGAAGTAATTCTGGAATAACCCTGCGTTTATTGTAGCTGACATGACGATTACTTTCAGGTCCCTATTGATAGCTATTGCGCGTTTGAGGAGGGCCAGCAACATGTCTGTGTTAATGGTTCGTTCGTGGGCCTCGTCGACAATTACGTGGGAACAGCCTTCAAGCCTTGGGTTGAATTGAAGTTTTCGTAAAAGAATTCCGGTCGTGCAGAAGAGAATTCCACCTGGTGTGTTGGGGAGCTCTTGGCTCAGTCGAACTTGGTATCCAACAACATCCCCAACTTGCTCCCTTCGTTCATCTGCGATGCGTTCCGCGAGGGAGATCGCTGATATTCTTCGAGGTTGAGCTATTAAGATGTTGCAATCTGTTGCTTGGGATTTCTTCGCAAAGTGGTCCATGATGTACTGAGGAACTTGCGTGGTTTTGCCACAGCCTGTATCGCCTTTTATCAACACTATCTATAAGCAGAAAGTTTGTTTTCTTGAGTAACTCATAGAGCTTCATAAGGCAATTCTGTAATTGAATTGGAAGTTTTTGATCATCTTTCAGTCATCTTGGAAATGAGTTGTTTTAGAAGGAAATATGAGAAGCCCTCTTTTGTCGGGTGCTTTACTGCTTTCAAAAACAATAGGGAACTTGCATGAAGCTCAATTTTTTCTAATTCCCCTATTCACACATTCCTCATAACATATGAATAGCTAAACGGCGGAAATTATTAGATAATAATAATCCGATAAAATTTTTAGTCTCCAATTCTCAATTCCTATTATTTATTCTATTCATTCTATCAAAAGACAAGGATAGGAAACGAATGTTCCATTATGCGAAACAATATATCGATTTTAAAACTTTTCGGACACATTGAAACATTATTTTTTTTATTTCTTCCTGTCTACGTTTTTTTACATTTTTGCTTCCGAATGGAAACATTGCACTTCTTCGATTTTCACATTCTCTAATGTTGATTGGGAATGATATAGAGGGTGGGGTAAAATGAACACTTTAGACCTTTTTTTAAATTATTCATAACTCAGAAACAAATTTATCAATTGAGCTCAGTTTAGGCTCGTTACAAAGGGAAAGAGTTGTTCTTTGTATTGAAAAAAAAAAAAAAAATTTCATCAACATTTCAATCTCGCATTAACATTTTAAAAAAAGTCAAGTGTCCATTTTACCCCAACCTCCCCTACCCGTCCATATAAAGTTTTCGAAACATTCCTGTTTTTCCATTTTTTTCATGAAAAACTTTGTAAACACTCTAGCCTGTGAAAAATGGAGATATCAACTTGAAATTTGGACAGAAAATATGTATACCCGCTCATACGAAGTATTCGAAACATTGGAATTTTGATAGCACCCATGGAGGTGGCAGTAACCATCTAAAATTTTTACTGCTAGTTAGTGTTGTTAAACGTTTGTAATCTTTCAGATCACTCGGAAGCCCGCCATCAATGTATTGATTGCGAAAAAAATAGGACATCACTCGGTAACATGTTCACTGTCACATGGCGCGCTGTCATGTGCTCGCTGTCCCCTGCTTGTTAAACATATACAATCGATCTTAGTTTTGAGGCTTTCGCGGCCATTATTAATGACGTGGTTGGCTTCCGGATGGATGCCGCGTTGAGTTTCAGCATTGCGCCGACGTTTCGCAAACATTGCAGTCTGCATCTTCAGGGCTATGAGCTCCGATTCTGAGCTCCGATGTGTGGGGGCAGTCCTTATATACCTTCCCTTGTGGTGGTGGG